ATAATAATCATTCTTAACATAGTAATTATTAGCTAACTTTTGGAATTCACTATGCATTTAGCTAAGTTTTTGCATGAATTATTTCATTCAATATTCACAACAATCATGTAACCTGGGTGCCAATATAAATCTTGTTTTACAAAGGTGGAATCTAAATTCAGGGAGGTAAAGTAATTTACCCAAAGGTAAGAGCTTATAAAGAGAAGAGGCAGGATTCCAACCCAGGCCTGTCTGACTTCAAAGTCCAAGCTCTTAATGCCCATGCTATACTAAGAAAATGAGAATAAAAGTGGAGATGAGGGGACATATTTGTGCAAAATTAGGGATTAATCACCAAAGATACTTTGTAAATGACTGGATGTTGGGGAGGGAGCAAGTAGGAGGGATCTCTGGCCTGGAAATTAAGAAAATATTGGTGCTATAAAGTTAAATATGGAAAAGAACTGTTTGGGAATGAAAATAAAGAATTTGTGGACTGTGTGACAACATTTGGTAGGAGGTGAATACACTGGTTTGGAGCTCAAGTTTAAGACCTGGACAGGAGATACAGATTTGGAAGTCTTCAGTTTGAGATCATTGTTGAAACCACAAGAATTAATGAGATAGAATTTGGAAAATGGAGAAGAGAAGAAATGGAATTAAAACTAAATACTAATAAAAGGATGGGCAGGAAAGGATCCAACAATGGAGAAAGGAACCCTAGGAGGAAAGTCTAGATTTTGAAGGAAAGTAGGATCAATAACAGAATATTACAAAAAGATCAAGTAAGGGAAGGACCAAAAAGTATCCATTAGATTTGGCAAATCTTCCTCAAATCTTAGAAACTGAAGACAGGAGAGAATTTCTGGTGAAAAGGAAATAGTGGTGGGAGAGACAGAATTTTGAATGATTGTGAGCAGGATCTCCCACATTGGTCAGGAATACCTTATTCTTTTATCTTAACACAGTCAAATATTGTCCCTAACCTGAGACTTTGAAGTATAATCAATGAAGGAGACAGGGGTGAGGGTAGTGCAAATGAAGCTAAGTTACCCAAAAGGGAGAGCTTGAATCGTTCTCTATTTTCATTTGGGGACTTTATGCTAGATTTTTAAAATGCAGGGAAGAAATACAAGGATAAAGGTACATATTAAATACCACCAACCAGCAAATTCTGGATATATATAAAAACCTTCAACCAAGTAAATTGCAAGGACAAGAAAAGGAGGGGAAAGAAACCTAATGTAAAAGAAGAAGAAAGAAAGGTAGGGAGGAACAGAAGGAAGGAGGGAGAGAGGAGGAAGGATGGAAACTTAAGCAAATGCACGTGTTGGGATCTAGATTCAAAGAAAATCTAAATATTGACTGGGCATCAATGATATTAAGAAATTATGAGATGCACTGTTGGTGGGAGTGAAAACTGGTACATCCACTGTGGAAAACAGTATGGAGGTTCCCCCCAAAAATTAAAAATGGAACTACTCTACGATCCAGTAATCACATTACTGGGTATTCAAAATACAAAAACATAAAAAAAAAAAAAAAAAAACCCACACACACACACAAACACTAATTCAAAGGGATATATGCCCCCCAATGTTTATAGCAACATTGTTTACAATAGCCAAGATATAAAGCAGCCCAAGTGTCCATCAATTGGTGAATGGATAAAGAAGATGTGGTGAACAAATGAACAAAGGGAAAAAAAGGGGAGAGACAAACCAAAAAAGACTTTTGGGGCACCTGGGTGGCTCAGTCATTAAGCGTCTGCCTTCAGCTCAGGTCATGATCCCAGAGTCCTGGGATCCAACCCTCCATCGGGCTCCCTGCTCGGCGGGAAGCCTGCTTCTCCCTCTCCCACTCCCCCTGCTTGTGTTCCCTCTCTCGCTGTCTCTCGCTGTCTCTCTCTGTCAAATAAATAAATAAAATCTTAAAAAAAAAAAAAAAAGAAAGAAAGAAAGAAATAGACTCTTAACCGTGGAGAACAAACATATGGTTATGGGGGGGGTGGGAAATGTGTGAAATAAATGATGGGGATTAAGAGTACACTTACCAAAAAAATTTTTTAAAGAGTACACGTATCATGATGAGCACTGAATAATGTACAGAATTGTTAAATGACTATATCATACACCTGAAATTAACATAATACTGTATGGTAACTATACTGGAATGAAAATTAAAAACAATAAAAAAGAAATTATGAGATAGAATTGGTTACATTTAGAAAAGGAGAGCTTATTCTTTAGAAAGGCATAATGAAATACTTCAAATGAAAAGGCATAGTGTCTGGGACTTGCTTCAAAATCATCCAGCAGGAGGTCGGAGAAAGAAGAGGATGAGGGTGTTGGTAAGCAAGACTGGCCATGGGTTTTGATAACTGTTTAAGCTGCTTGATGGACATGGGGATTCACTGTATAACTCTTCACTCCTTTGGTATATATTTGAGATTTTCAATACCAATGTCTTTTTCAGTGGAAAAAAACTTTTTATTTGAATTCAATTAGGTATAGTACATCATTAGTTTTTGATATTATGTTCAATGATTCATTAGTTGAAAATTTTAAGATATTCTGTTTTGTTTCTTAAATTCCACATATGAGTGAAATCACATGGCATTTGGCTTTCTCTGACTTATTTTGCTTAGCAAAATACCCTCTTGTTCCATCCAGATGAACACAGGGGAAGGGAAGGAAAATAAGATGAAAATAGGGAGGCAAACCATAAGAGACAATAATTCCAGGAAACAAATGGACGGTTGCTGGAGGGGAGATAGGTGGTGGGGGAGGGGTCATTGGGTGATAGGCATTAAGGAGGGCACTTGATATAATGAGCACTGGGTGTTATATGCTACTGATGAATTACTAAATTCTACCTCTGAAACTAATAATACAGTATATGTAAACTACATTGAATTTATTTTTTTTACTACATTGAATTTAAATAAAGAATTTTTTAAAAGATATTATTTCATTATGATATACTTCATAGTGCACAAGTAGAAATAAGGATAACTCAAACGAGAAAAAATGAGAATCTTAGGAAATGTATATGCACTAAATAGGTAAAGAAACCATGTTATATAGGAGCTATTATATTATTAGGTCTCAATTTTTATTTTTTATTTTTTCAATTTAAATTTTTTATTATGTTCAGTTAGCCAATATATAGTAGTACATTATTAGTTTCTGATGTAGTGAAAATTTTTAAATTTAAATTGATACATATATATATCACATCTTCTTTATCCATCCATCTATTGATGGACATCTAGGTTCTTTCCATAGTTTGGCTATTGTGGACATTGCTGTTATAAACATTGGGGTGCAGGTGTCCCTTCAGATCACTATGTTTGTGTCCTTTGGGTAAATACCTAGTAGCGCAATTGCTGGGCTATAGGGTAGCTCTATTTTTAACTTTTTGGAGAACCTCCATACTGTCTTCCAGAGTGGCTGCACCAGCTTGCATTCCCACTAACTGCAAGAGGGTTCCCCTTCTCTGCATCCTCGCCAAAACCTGCTGTTTCCTGACTTGTTAATTTTAGCCTTTCTGACTGATGTGAGGTGGTATCTCATTATGGTTTTGATTTGGATTTCCCTGATGCTGAGTGATGTTGCGCATTTTTTCATGTGTCTGTTGTAGGCCTCATTTTTAAAATACTATGATTCTAGAGCATGAATAGTAAACAGAGCATGAAAAAAACGGACAGTCCATGTAAGGACATATATATATGTAGCAATATAGAATTTACTAAATGTAGCATTTCAAACCTAAGAAAAGATATTTATGTCATTTTTTTCTCAGAATTTCCCAATAAGTTATTAGCTCAGGATAACTGAATTCAACTTTACTTTGATTAAATTTGGTCCAATGAACTGGCTCTTTTGTTACTATCCTCAAAGTGGGCATAAGCTGTTTTAAGAAGAAAGTTAGGCTGGTACTATATTTAGAATGCAAGGTCTTGTGCTTACCTATGTATATATAAGTATTATATATCTTATTTAAGTGGAAGGTCCTGAAATACAGGTTCCGTCCCTTCCTTAGTGCTGTGAGGGATATGAATAAAGTCCAATACTTAGAAATAATGTGTTTTGAATCTTTTTTATTTAAAGTCAATTAATTAACATATAGTATGTTATTAGTTTCAGAGGTAGAGTTCAGTGATTCATCAGTTGTATATAATACCTAGTGCTCATTACATCACATGCCCTCTTTAATGCCCATCATCCAGTTACTCATCCACCCACCCCCCTCTCCTCCAGCAACCTTCAGTTTATTTCCTATGGTTAAGAGTCTCTTATGCTTTGTCTCCCTCTCTGATTATGTCTTGTTTTATTTTTCCCTCCCTTCCTCTATGCTCCTCTGTTTCATTTCTTAAATTCTACATATGAGTGAAATCATGTAATTGTCTTTCTCTGATTGACTTATTTTGCTTAGCATAATACCTTCTAGTTCCATCCATATCATTGCAAATGGCAAGATTTCATATTTTTTGATGGCTAAGTAATATTGCATTATATATATATACCACATCTTCTTTATCTATTCATCTGGCACCTGCAACCCAATGTTTATAGCAACAATGTCCACAATAGCCAAACTATGGAAAGAGTCCAGATGTCCATCGACAGAAGCTTTTTGAATCTTAAAAGAAAAACAACTACAAACAGCAAATGTTGGTGATAGTAGTATGGTAATAACAACCCATCATTGTTATTTAAGAACACACAGGTTTCCATCATTAAAATACTGTTTTAAAAAATAAATGTTTCTTGAAGATATGAATATGTTTCTATGAATCACACCAAGCCGCTGCTGGTGAGTTTTCCTCCCTTTGTGTGCCCCAAGCATGGCCAGCAGAGCCATTATTTATGAGATGCAATAATAGGACAGATGAGATGAACAATAATGCTGTATCTGTTCAGTGGGTGACTTCAAGCACCTTAGGGGAGGAAAGGCAAAATCATGCAGACAAGGGATCTGAAAAGATGGAGGATGGAAGGAAATTAGGGGCTTCTCACTTGTTCCTCAGCATTGCAGAGGTCTTCTTCAATCACAAGGACCTGACTTAAATCCAAGCTCTGGGGGAAATCGAGTGAGTGGCAGATCTTTTCTGTCTGAGAATTCCTGACGGAGAACCGCAAGAGGTGGATTGTCAAGGTCTGGGGCAAATGGGTCAGCTTCAAGACCTGAAAAAGCAAAATTACTATGGAGATGAAGTCCTAAGGCACTTGAAACAGGTAGATATAGAGAAATACCAGGGCCAGTGGTGTCTTCTTCCCCAAAAGGGATCAGAATGCTATAATACAGATTTAAGGGCTCCCATCTGCTGAATCTGTTGAGCTCTCCGCAGAAGGCATGAGCAGCCCTAGGGTTCTGCACAGGAACTAGAGACCAGGGGATCTAGAGAGTCTGCTCTAAAGAGCTAGTCTAACCCTGCATGGAAAACTCTGCCTGCTGCTCTTGGACCTTCTCTTCTCTCTCTTTTTTTTAAAAGATTTTATTTATTTATTTTGTCAGAAAGAGAAAGAGAGCCCAAGCAGGGGGAGCAGCAGGCAAAGGGAGCTCTGAGCAGGGTGAGCGGCAGGCAAGGGAGAAGCAGACTCCCCGCTGCGCAGGGAGCCTAATGTGATGTGGGACTCAATCCCACTCTGGGGGGACTCTGGGATCATGACCTGGGATCATGACCTGAGCTGAAGGCAGATGCTTAACTGACTGAGCCACCCAGGCATCCCTTCCCTTATCTTTTAAAAGGCTCTGCCCTCTCAGTGATGGGCCTCTGAAAATCAGAAGCCCAAGATCCCAGATACTAGCTGGATATGGATTCCTTCCCTCAAACAACATATGGTACCCTCAAGGCCTCTATGAAGACTCTATTAGGAAATCCACTAAAGACAACCCAAAACTAGGAAAGCTTCCGGTTTCAGAGAGTACCTGTTTCCCACAAGTCTTCTTCCCACATTTCTCACAGAAGCATTTGCTTTTGCCTGATAACTCCCTGGGCTGGAAGAAACATCGAAGGGCATCCTCCTGTGTCAGGAGATCAAAGAAAAAGCAGAGTTAGTATTTACCACCCTACAGATGAGGATTTAAGTTTTCCTTCTGGTTCTCTCCATGTCCCCCATCAACACCTGGCCCAGTGTGGGTGCATGTGACAGGATCTCCAAAAGTACCTACTGACTGGATGGAAAAATAGGAGAGAGCACTTGTTAAGGTAGCAGTGGGATGAAAGGAAGTAAAAGGAAACAATTTTTTTTCACCAAATCAAAGGAGAAACTTAGAACTGTGCAAAGGAAATAGAAATTACTTTTTAAAAGGCAGCAGTGGATTAAAGAAGGGCACATGGGCAGCACTCGGTTTATGCGTACAGCAAATTAACCAAAAGAAATCCCTCACCAGTGTTTTCAGGGGTTTTGAGTCCATATCAAAAAGAGGAAGGGGGAGGGTCAACATGCTACTGTTTCTGCTCTTCTCCACAGTACATTCAAGGCAAACCAAGGACTCCTTCACCCGGATTGTATACAGGGCCTGCAGCCTCTCTACCTGTAAGAGAGAGGAGGTAAGAGGAAAGAAGGGTACAAAGCCATAAATAAAACAGGTCAAGTCAATTTCCAGAAATTATAGCCACCAGACTATAGCTACCAGACAGAAGCTCCATTGATGCTCTCTGCTCTTCAAAAGGTGCAAAATAATAACAGTAATAATATTATGGAATTGTGATAAGCATTTTATGTGGATTTCTCTTTTAATCCTCTCTATACATTATATTAATGATTACTGAATGAGCTAAATGAGCAGCATCTTAAACTTCTGAGTTGTCTGGTTCTAGGATCTCACCAAGTCCACATCTGTGATTTGGTCCTTAATTAGGTTCCAGACTGTGAGGTAGAGTTGAGCAGCATCATGCTGGACAAACACTGGACAAAGAGAAAGTAACAGCCCAATCAGTGAGGTCACCAGGGACATTTCTCATGCGTGCCCTTGTGCCCTAGCTACCTAGATGTACATGAACACTCATCATTTTGTCCTCTCCTAGCCTTCACCATCACCATCACCCCCTGCTTTAATTAGGTACTAAAAATGAAAAATAAGCTTGTTATTTATTTTTGAGAACTCCTCTTAAAACTTAAAATCCAGGGGTGCCTGGGTGGCTCAGTCATTAAGTGTCTGCCTTCAGCTCAGGTCATGATCCCAGGGTCCTGGAATGGAGCCCGGAGTCGGGGCTCCCTGCTCAGTGGGGAGCCTGCTTCTCCCTCTCCCTTTGCCCCGCCCCCTGCTTGTGTTCCCTCTCTCACTCTCTGTCAAATAAATAAATAAAATCCCCCCCCAAAAAAACAGTTAAAATCCAGTCCAGCTGCATCACAGAAGTTTCCTTTCCTCTGACTAGCCACCCACGCCTACTGACCTCTACTGGGGGACCCAGCCAGATAAAATCAATATCCAATAGTGGGTTCTCTCCTATTTCCAAGCCAAGCCAACACCCTAATTAGATTTTAATGGCCATTCATTTCTCTGTACTTTTATTTGTCATTTCCCAGAAATTGAGCAGTTTCCCAATACTCATATGTGACCCAGGTCTTCCCCAAAGCTATCTAGGAGAACAAGAAAGGAAAGAACCATCTCAGTGTTAGATGATGCTGGCTAAGAGGAAACAGGAATTAAGCAGTAAATTCTCCATATGTTATATAAGAAGCCTAAAAGACAGATATAAATGAATTTCTGTTCTTCAAAAGAAACCTAGGAATACAAAGAACATGAAAAATACACTGAGGACTATTTTACAAAAGAATATATGTCTGCCAACATGCAAAGACATTGCAAGAAAAGGTAGTTATTGTAAATGTATTAAATATTCATATCAGCTATCTCAACACCATTTTATTTCCTTCATGATACCACAGTTTGTACTTAACATTTTTGGATTTCATTTTCTTTTGTTTTGGCCTGTCTGTTCTCTAGATTGTAAGCTCAATGGAGGCAAAGACTGTATCAGTCTTATTCCCTTATCTACAGCACCAGCACAATACCAGTCACATAATAGATGAACCCTATATATATGAGCTGAATGAATTAATTAATCCATATTTTAAGGTAATAACCCCAAAACCTAAAGACAAACAGAGTGGAACTAGGGTTGAACTATATTGTCTCCAGGGAATTATTTACAGAAGGCTGCCTGCCACGAAGCCAACATTGGACATAAAGTTAGATCACCTTGCCATGTAAAGACATTTGCCTCATCTGACCATATCAGAGCCAAGAGTCCTGATTCATCTAAAAAATACAGGGATATTTGCCCAACCCATAATTTACTTAACACCTGCTATGTGCAAGGCATTGCACATGCTAGAGGAAGTTCCTATCCCCAAGAAACCTATATTCTAATGGAGGACAAGAATGTCCCTTATCATCACTCCGTTTCAATGTGGTATTGGAAGTCCTAGCGAATGCAGTAAGACAAGGAGAGGAAATAAAGGTATACTGATTGGAAAAAAAATAAGAATGTCCTTATTTGCAGGTGACATGATCATCTATGTAGAAAATTCAAAAGAATCAACAAAAAACTCCTGGAACTAGGAGTTGGATACAACTGGAACTAACTTGGATACAAGGTAAACAAAGTTATGGACCTTATACAAGTCCTATATACTTTCCTATATATCAGCAATGAACAAGGGGAATTTTTTTCTTTTTTTTTATTATTATATTAAACTATCCAACATATATTACATCATTAGTTTTTGATTAAGGGGAATTTTAAATTAAAAGCATAATATTATTTAAATTAGAAACCATGAAAATAAAATATTTAGGTATAAATCTAACCAGATATGTACAAGATCTATATGAGAAAAACTATGAACTCTGATGACAGAAATCAGAAGAACTACAAAAATGGAAAGATATTCCATGTTCATGGATAGGAGGACTCAACATTGTCAAGATGCCAGTTCTTCCCAACTTGATCTATAGACTCAATGCAATTTCAATCAAGATCCCAGCAAGTTATTCTGAGAATACTGACAAAGTGATTCTAAAGTCTATTTGGAGAGGCAAAGACCTAGAATATCCAACACAATATTGAGGGGGAAAATCAAAGTCAAAGAACTAATTCTGAACTTACTATAAAGTGTCAGTAATCAAAACAATGTGGTATTATAAAAGAACATAAAAATAGATCAATGGAATGAAACAGATCCCGGGAATATACCAACATAAACAATATCAACTGCTCTTTGACAAAGTAGCAAAGGCAATACAACAGAACAAAGACAGTCTTTTTGCCAAATGGTGCTGTAATCCTGAATATCCACATGCAAATAAATGAATCTATACACAGACCTTAAATCCCTTAAGAAAACAAATTCAAAATGTATAACAGACTTAAATGTAAAATGCATATATATAAAAGTCCTAAATATAATAAAGGAGAAAATCTAGAAGACCTTGTGTTTGGTGATTACTTTTTAGATGCAACTCCAATGTACAAGCAATAAAAGGAAGAAGTGATATACTGGACCTCATTAAAAATAAAAATTTCTGCTCTGTGAAAGATACTATCAAGAGCATGAGAAGACAAGCCACAGACTGAGAGAAAATATTTGCAAAAGGTATATCTTATAAAGGACTGTTATCCAAAATATACGAAAAAATTCTTCAAACTCAACAATAGGACAAAAAAAAATCTGATTAAAAAATGGATAAGAAACCTGAATAGACATCTCACCAAAGAAGATATACAAATGGCAAATAAGCATATGAAGCAGTGCTCGGCATATGTCAAAGAGAATTAAAAAGGACATGTGATATAATGAGCACTGGGTGTTATATTCAACTAATGAATCACCGACCATTATATCAAAAATTAATGATGTATTATACCTTGGCTAATTGAATTTAAATTAAATAACCTAAAAAATAAACTACAAATTAAAATAATGAGATACCTCTATAAACCTATCAGAATGGCCAAAATTTAAAACACCAACATAGTACTAGAAGTCCTAGCCTCATTGTTCAGACAACAAAAAGAAATAAAAGGCATCCAAATTGGCAAAGAAGAAGTCAACTCTCACTCTTCACAGATGACATGATACTTTATGTGGAAAACCCAAAAGACTCCACCCCCAAATTGCTAGAACTCATACAGGAATTCAGCAATGTGTCAAGATATAAAACCAATGCACAGAAATCAGTCGCATTTCTATACACAAACAATGAGACAAAAGAAAGAGAAATTAGGAGTCTATACCATTTACAATTGCACTCAAACCCATAAGATACCTAGGAATAAATCTAACCAAAGAGGCAAAGGATCTGTACTCCAAAAACTACAGAACATGTATGAAAGAAATTGAGGAAGACACAAAGACATGGAAAAACGTTCCATGCTCATGGATTGGAAGAATAAACATTGTGAATATGTCTATGCTGCCCAGAGGAATCTACACATTCAGTGTAATCCCTATCAAAATATCACTGACCTTTTTCACAGAGCTGGAACAAACAATCCTCAAATTTGCATGGAACCAGAAAAGACCCCAAATAGCCAGAGGAATGTTGAAAAAGAAAACCAAAGCTGGGGGCATCATGACACCTGACTTCAAGCTATATTACATAGCTGTGATAACCAAGACAGCATGATATTGGCACAAAACTAACATACCAATCAATGGAACAGAATAGAGAATCCAGAAACGGACCTTCATCTCTATGGTCAACTAGTCTTTGACAAGCAGGAAAGAATGTCCAATGGCAAAAAGTTAATAGCCAGGATTGAAAAAAAGCATACAAGACAATACAGAACCTCTAGGGCAAAATGAGATCTAATCAGGCCAACTGAAAAATGCTATGAATGAGATGCAGTCTAAATTGGATGCTCTAACATCTAGAGTCAATGAGGCAGAAGAGAGAATAAGTGATATAGAGGACAGGCTGATGGAAAGGAAGGAAGCTGAGGAAAAGAGAAAGACAACTTACAGCCCATGAAAAAAGGCTTCAAGAATTTAACGATGCCCTAAAATGAACCAATGTTAGAATTATTGGGGTTCCTGAGGCGATGGGGAGAGACAGAGGGCCAGAGGGTATACTGGAGCAAATCATAACTGAGAACTTCCCTAATCTGGGGAAGGAAACAAGCATTCACATCCAAGAGGCAGAGAGGACCCCTCCCCAAATCAACAAAAATAGATCAACACCCCTACATATAATAGTGAAGCTTGCAAATCTTAGAGAAAAAGAAGTTATCCTGAGAGCAGCTAGGGAAAGGAGGTTCCTTACATATGGAGGGAGGAAAATCAGAATAACATCGGACCTATCCACAGAAACCTGGCAGGCCAGAAAGGGCTGGAGAGATATATTCAGAGTACTAAATGGGAAGAACATGCAGCCAAGAATACTTTATCCAGCAAGGCTATCATTCAGAATGGATGGAGAGATAAAGAGCGTCCAGGACAGACAGAAATTGAAAGAATATGTGACCACCAAGCCAACACTGCAAGAAATAGTAAGGGGGATACTGTAAGCAAAGAGAGACCCCAAGAGTCACCTAGACCAGAAAGAAACAGAGACAATCTACAGAAACAGGGACTTTACAGGCAATACAATGGCACTAAATTCATATCTTTCTACTCTGAATGTAAATGGACTAAATGCTCCAATCAAAAGACACAGGGTATCAGATTGGATTAAAAAGCAAGACCCATCAATATGCTGTCTACAAGAGACTCATTTTAGACTCAAAGACACCCCCAGATTGAAAGTGAGGGGGTGGAGAACCGTTTATCATGCTAATGGACCTCAAAAGAAAGTTGGGCTGGCAATCCTTAAATCAGACAAGATAGATTTTAGACCAAAGACAGTAAAAAGACCCATAATCATAATTAAAGGGTCTATCCAACAAGAAGATCTAAAAACT